CACTGCACTCTAGTCTGGGTGACAGAGTAAGACTCCAACTCAAAAAAAAAAAAAAAAAGATACCTCTAGGGAGCCAGAGGGAAATTTTAGGACAGAAACTCTCCCTGCTCCCCTTTGCTAATTGCAAAGAGAGCTCAGAGCTGCAGAGCTGGTGTCCATGTCCTACATTCCCCAGGTCCGTCCTATGTCTGTTCTCAGGTTGAGAGGGAGGAAAGAGAGAGGACCCACTCAGAAGACCATGATCCATCATACTTGGAGATTGGGAGAAAAACAGAAAGCAGACTGAGGGCATGATCAGGCTGTGGGCTGAAGCCAGCAGGGAAGATTCCCAAGGAGCCCCTTCCCTGAAGAAGCAGAGCTCAGGCTGCCAGGAGAAGGGAAGGGCCCTCATTTCCTACCCACCAACTGCCTGGATACTTACAGCTAAGAGAAAAATGACAGGGTGGGAGAGTGCTCCACACTGGTGAGGAAGAGAGCCAAATGTACATGCTCCAAATTCGGCAGGTATCAAGTGTCCTCCCATGGTAGGCAGAATCTTGGCCCAAGACCTTCTCCCCCTGCAGTTACTTCCTTGAACACGTTACTTTACGTGGTAAAAGGGTCTTTGCAGAAGTAATTAAGGCTACTAATAAGATGACTTTAAAATAGAGAGACTATATGGGATTACTGGGGTGGGCCTAGTCTAACTACACAAACCCTTACAGCAAAAGCACAGAGCTTGCTCTCTGGCCAGAAGCAGAAAACAGAGACTCCAAGCACAAGGAGGACTTGACATGCCGTTGTTGGCTTGAAGATGAAGAGGTGGCCCTATGTCAAGAAAACGAGGACCTCAAGGAACAGAATTCTGCCAACGACATGAATGATTCTGGGAAAGGAATCGTTCCCAGAGTCTCCAGATAAGAGCCCGGGCTGGTCCACACCTTGATTTTGACCTTGGAAGGGTCTAAGCAGAGGACTCTGTTGATTCCACCTGGACTTCTGACCTATAGAAACTGCAAAATAAAATTAGCCGGGTGTGGTAGCGTGCACCTGTAGTTCCAGCTACTTGGAAGACTGAGGCAGAAGGATCGCTGGAGCCCAGCAGGTCGAGGCTGCGGTGGCCAGGAGCGTGCCACTGCACTCCAGTCTGGGCGACAGAGTGAGACTCTGACTCCAAAAAACAAAACAAAACTGCAGAATAATGCATCTGTGTTGTCTTTAAGCTGCTAAGTTCATGGCAATTGGCTATGGTAGCAATAGAAAACGAATATACCTCCCGAAATCAAAACCAAATGAACTCCAGAAATAGTCGTTAGACACTTAGTCGGTATGAAAGTCTAAAATTCCAGCGCCAGGGGTAAGGGCATATTCCAGCTACCAGGGAGGAACACAGCCGTTATTAGATAGGCGTTCTATCCAGCAAAAAGCAGCAAGGCTGAAAGGCCAAGGCCCCTGGGAGAAAGTGTATAAGACTAACACTATTTCTGTAGATGTTCGTGAGCAGGATAAGAGGATAGCAGGAGGCCACCCAGCACCAGACAGAGGAACTTGTTAAGGACAGACCACTAGACAACAGGAGCTGATGGCTGTGCTATTTAAGTGACTACACAGTCTTGACCCAGGTAGCCTGTTGCCCTCATCCTCATAAATCAGACAGGCACCTTCCTGAAGTAGATCTGCACAAAACGACCTGGCTCCTAGTGCCAGCCCCTAGGGCCTGGGGGAGACAAAGAGTAGCTCAAGAAGGTCCATCTCCCCTCAAGGAGACTCAGCCGTGTCTGAGTCTGCTGTGTAATCTGGGTACAGTGCAGCAGAAAGGCCGAGCATATTAAATTCCTTCCCTATTGTGGCTTGAGGCCACAATGGCTGAGACATCTATTTCTCTCCGTGGAGATGAAAGCCAGGCTCCTTCAGGGGGAAAAGCTACATCCTAACCTAATTAAGGTCACTGACCCAAAACAGGATTCAGGTCTGTTCCTTTGCCTAGGACATCCCAGAGGATGACTTCATACTGATCCTTTAGGGGTAAGAATTCTTTTTCTCCAAAATGGAAATGCCTTTAGTTATTTTTACTGATGAAACTTGATAGTGGTAAAACTTCATGCAACACAGCAAATGCCATGATCCAACCCCATGATCCCAAGTTGTAGAAATAACTCTGGTAAACTGTATTTTCCACACCACTTTCAATACACATTCACATGTGCACAAACTCAAGCCCTTTAAATATAGAGAGAACACTATATATTATTCACAGCCTCTTTCATCTAAGAAGACACAATATATCCATACAAAGATCTGGCTTGGGTTTTTTAATCGCTCCATTTCTGGAAACAGCTGCATTGCTTATAAGAAAAAAAAAAATAAGAACCAACTTAAGTGCCCATCAACAGGGGATTAGTTACATAAATTATGCCCATCTATACCATGAACTATTATGTGACTATTATGAAACAGGTAGATATACTTGTGCTCATATGAAAGTAATAAGCAAAATGAGAACTATACTATAATATACTACAATACTACTATTAGTAATAACTTACCAACAGAGGAAGATGTAGTATATAATACTACAAAGTAAAAACTATATTACAGCATAGTATAATAATACTGTTAAAAAGTGAGATACTATGCTATAATACTACTGTTCTAGTGAGAACCATACTACAGTATACCATACTACAGTATACTACTGTTAAAAAAAAGTGTGTGTGTGTATGTGTGTACATACAAACATACATACATTTTTAAAGAGGATACACAGCAGTGAGTAGTGGTTATAGTGAGAATGAATGGTGTGGGAAAGAAACTCAGTTTTTACTGCACACTTTTGTAAACTGTTTCTTTTGTTCCTTAAAACACACACACACATACGAAGCTTTTTTATTAATTAAAAAAATCTATTAATCGAGGAAGCGTGTCTGTCCTGTCTATTCCTATATCCCCAGTGCCAAGACCAATAACTGTTCTTACAAGGTTGTCTGAAACATGTTTACTTGAAGAACAACCTCTAGAGGCTGACTTACCAAAAGTGCTCCAATCAGCCTCCCCACACTTGTGTCTCTGGCCTAGAGGTAAGGCTTGAGGCTCTCTCAGCCCTTTCCCACCTCTCTCCTGACACTAGGCAAAACCAACCCTTGAGATGTCCCAATTCCCGGAGTACTTACCAACAGAGGAAGATGTCTGTGAACGTCTCTGCTGTGGTGAAAAGGGCAAATATAATCCAGTACATCATCCATTTGACCTGTTGAAAGAGGAAGCGACAAAGACGGGAGAAAAGGTCCAGGAGAAATGGCTGCCCAATATCAAGAAAAACCGGCCCAGACAATGGAAGGTGCAGCATGTCCAGGCAGTGCAGGATGCATTCATAGGCTTCTCCTCATCCTTCCCCAATTCGTGTCCAGTTCCGCTCCAGAGCTTGGGGCTGGGAGCAAACAGGATGTCCCACAGGTGACCCAGGTTTAGAGTCAAACAGCCCTCAGGTGAGCTAGGAAACCTGCAGACCAGGAGTGACACCCTGGAATGAAGATTAACCAGGCCAGGCTCTCTGGGATGAAGTGGTGATACTCCTCACTGGTCACTAAGAGTCCCTTATTGTGAGAAGGGCCCAGAGCCCCTCCATAAACCGATCTTCTCAGTCTCTTCCATGTGACCATCCTTTTCCATTTCCACTGCCTCTCCCCCCGAATAAAGGCCTTTGTCTCCTCTCTCTTGAGCTACTAAAAGATTCCCCTAACTGCTTCCCTCGTCTCCTAGCTTTCCCCTTACCAGCACATCCTATAAGCCATCGCCATACTAATCTTCCAAAAGATAAACCCATCAGACTATCCCCTCCCTCATTTAAAATCTTCCAGCCTGCAGGATAAAGTCCAAATGTCTTAGTCTGTGCCTTCCAGCTACCAGTAATGGTGGAGTATCTTGTATTGAACTAACCTTCCTGCCAATAGTGATAATAGACTCTGAACAAAATGTTCTAAGACAACTGTTTGAAGGTTGTCTTAGAACAATAAAAAGTGTGCAGAGATTAGAAGGAGTTCAACCCTTTGAGTGTGGGAACCACACTGGATTAGATCCAGGTTGCTGTGGCCAGGACAATCCCCAGTCTATACAGGATGGATAGAATTCAAGCAGAAATCGACAGTCTTACTTGCCTGAGCAACAGGAAAATGAAGTTGGAGACTGCCAGAGGCGCTGGAAGTGGAGAGAGAGGTAATCTCAAAAAGAGAAAAGCCATATTGTCATAGGAGTGGCCTTAGAGGGGAAAAAAAAAGCCAAAAAGGGGCAGGTCCAAACATCTCTAAATAAATTTCGTTCAAATCCTTGGTTGGCCCATGAGTCGCAGAAGTTTGTTTTATCAAAAACAAACAAACTCTGAAGAGCTGAAAGAATCGAACAGAGATTTCTGCCCTTTGTAGGAAAACAGTTGGATTTCAAGCCCTGCAAAGTTAGAGGGGCTTGGTAAACATTTTGAAATTTCCAGTAAAACATCTGAAGGACCACATCTGAGCAGTAAAAATTACATCCCAACATGAAGAGGTTAGTTGTATGACTAAGGGAAAATTGAAACACACCTTCCCCAGCAAAATATAAGATCTAGCTGCCACAGGGTCAAGGTGATATGCTAGAATTTAACTGCCTGATAGAACAAAGCTCCACACTCCTCATATGAAGGCAGTCAAAATAGGGAATTTCTACAACGTGTCATAACAAAGGCCAGTACACAATAAAAAGCTAAGCATGAGAAAAACATAGGAATATATAATTCATAGTTATAAGAAAAAATTGACATGGTGGCTCAAACCTATAATCCCAGCACTTTGGGAGGCCGAGGCAAGAGGATTGTCTGAGCCCAGGAACTCAAGATCAGCCTGGGCAATTTGGTGAGACCTCATCTCTATAATAAAAAATGAAAAAATTAACCAGGCGTGGTAGTGCATGGCTACTTGGAAGGCTGAAGCAGAAGGATCGCCCAAACCCAGACAGTTGACACTAGGGTGGCTGTGAGAGTGACACTGCACTCCAGCCTGGGTGACGGAGTGAGAGTTTGACTTAAAAAAAAAATTGATCCACAGATTACCTAGGTGTTCGAATTAGCAGACAAGGATTTTGAAACATAAAAATATACACTGAGACAACCAAATATCCATGTGTAAAAGAATGAAGTTGGGCTTTCACCACATACCTTAAGATGGATCAGCGATCTAAATATAAAAGCAGCAACTATCAAATACTTATAAGAAAACATAGGAGTATGTTTTTCTGACTTTGAATTAGGCAATGGTTTCTTATATATGCCACCAAAAGCACAAATAACATGAGAAAAAATAAATTAGCCTTTACCAAAATTAAAAACTTTTCTGCTTCAAAGGGCACCATCAAGAAAGTAGAAAATATTTGCACATTATATATCTGATAAGATACTTATATCCTAATATATAAAGAACTCTTACAACTCAACAATAAAAGGACAAATAATTTGATTAAAATTGTGCAAAGGGCCCACATCTGTTAAAGAAACTGAACCAATAATGAATAAATCCAATATCTATTTATGATTTTTAAAAACTCTCAAGAAAGTAGGAGTAGAGGGAACCTCCTCAACTTGATAAAGAACATCTACAAAACACCCTGCAGCTAACACCATGCTTAATAGTGAGAAAAGAGATGCCTTTCTCCTAACATCAGGAGTAAGGCAAAGATGTTCTCTCTCTCCACTCCAATTCTATATCACAATGGAGGTCCTAGACAATGTAACAAGACAAGAAAACAAAAGAAAAGACACAGACTGGGAAGAAAGAGATAAAACCATCATTCTTCACAGATGCTATGATGGCCTATGTAGAAAATACCAGAGAACTGACCAAAACCTGCTCCTGTAATTAAAAAGTAATTATAGCAGGTAGCAGGATACACAATATCAAAGAAGAAGAATAAAGTTGGAAGACTAACAACACTACCAAACTTCAAGAGTTACTGTAAAGCTAAAATAATCAAGACCATGTGTCACTGGGGGAAAAATAGACAATCAGATCAATGGAACAGAAGATAGATCTAAGAAATAGGTCCACCCAAACATAATCATTTGATCTTTGACAAGGCACAAAGACAATTCAATGGAGAAAAGATCGTCTTTTAAACAAATGATGCTGGAACAACTGGGCAGTCACATGTGACCACAACAGAACAAATGAACCTAGGCACTGATCTTACATCTTTCACAAAAATTAACCTCAAAAGGCACCAGAGTTCTAAATGCAAAACACAGAACTACTACACCTCCAGAACATGAGAAAATGTGAGGACCTTGGACTTGGCAAAGAGTTTCTGGATACATCACCAAAAGCACTAGCCATGAAATAAAAAAAGTAGCAAGTTGGACTTCATTAAAATTAAAAACTGCTCTGCAGAAACACAATTAAGAAGGCAAGCCACAGACTGGGAGAGAATGTCTGCAAAACATATGTTGATAAAGGACTTGTAGTATCTGTGTCTCTCTCTCTACAGGTATTGATATAGATATAGATATTCTCCCTCTCTCTATGTATATGTATGTATATCCTTAAAACATAACAAGAAGAAAACAAACAAACCAACTAACAAGTGAACAAAAGATGTGGACACCTCACAAAGAACACACACAGATATGCACCTACTTATTAACAAAGCTTTTCTTAGGAAAGCTAAACTTTTCTTTGTCACCACCTAACAAGATGCTTATCCTACAAGGAAAAGGGTAAGTTCAGTATTATTTTTCTTTAAAAAGTATAAATATGTTACAGGATCTACAATGCATGAAGAGATGGGGGAATTCAAGAGAAAGAAGAAACTCTTTAAAAAGAAACAAATGATATCCCAGAACCCAAAAGCAAAATATCTGGAATAACAGTTACTGGATGGAATTAACAACAGGTTGAACACAACAAAAGATCTGTGTGTCTGATCAGCCTGGGCAACATAGCAAGACCTAGTCTCTACAAATAATCAAAAAATTAGCCAGGCACAGTGGTGCATACCTGTAGTCCAGCTACTTGGGAGGCTGAGGTAGAAGGACTGATCGTCTGAGCCCAGGCGATCTTAAACCCTTGGGCTCATACCACTGCCCAGGCTGGTCTTGAACCCCTGGGTCATGCCCACTGCACTCCAGCTTGGGCAACAGGGGAGGGAGGGAGGGAGGAAGGGAAGGGAGGAATCTTAAAATCAGAGAAGACTGAACAACACATTACACACAGGAGAATGGCAATATGAATGATAGCTGACTTTTCATCAGAAACGAGAATATCAGAAGAAAATGGAATAGCATCTTTAAAGGGCTAAAAAAAAAAAAAAAAATGTTAACCTGGAATTTTATACCCAGCAAAAATATCTTTCCTTTTTTTATTTTTTATTTTTGAGTTGGAGTTTCACTCTGTTGCCCAGGCTGGAGTGCAGTGGCACACTCATAGCCACCACAGCTTCAACCTGCTGGGCTCAGACAATCCTTGCACCTCAGATTTCCAAGTAGCTGGAACTATAGGCACGCATTACTATGCTTGGCTAAATTTTTTTTTTAATTGTTGAGACGAGGTCTCAGCAAGTTGCCCAGGCTGGTCTCAAACCCCTGGGCTCTGACAATCCTCTTGCCTTGGCCTCCCAAAGTGCTGGGATTATAGGTATGAAAGCACTCGGCCCCCTTTTTAGTTTTTCACTCAACTTTCTTGACTTTTCAGCTAAATGTGAGATGATCACTTTCTGAAAAACTCTCCCAACACTACAACTGTCCTGGTTTCCCTCTCACCTTTCTCACTACTACTTCTCAGACTGTTCAATTCCTCCCCGGGGCTCTGTTCTAGACATCCACTTCTAACTCTAGACTAGTTGCGGCCCCTGGAGAAAATTCTGCTGCATTCTTCATTTAACACAGCCAACCAATCACCAAGTCCTGTCACTTTCATCCTCTTGAATGTACCTTGTTTTCTCCTCTGCCATTTTCCTTACTTCATACCACCAACTCCTCCTGTCTAGAACAGAGCTACAGCCCCATGTTTCACCTCTATACCGAGGTCCCTTTTCATGCATCCTCTGAATTCCAGTCAAAAAGATCTTCCTAAATCCAAATTGGATGATTCTCTCGCCTAGCTAAAAGCCTTCAATAGTTCTACATCGCTGTTAAGATAAAGCCCAGATTCCTTCAATTGGCTTCAAGACCTTGCATGATTGACCCCTAATTACCTCCATTACACACTCATCTGCTCACATTTTCCACTC